TGGGGGGGGGGGGGGGGTACACCTCTGGGTCATCACTGGCTTCCTTTCATTTACTGAAAGATTAATAAAGTTGCCTTTGTAACTCTTATTTTTATGGATGCTGGGACATGTTTGGCAGTAGAGACAGCTGACATGCTTCTGAATTCATATGCAAAAGTGTCCCAGAGGTGCAGTTCAACCATCATCCACTGCACATTTAACATGACATTGAGTGTGTTAGTGAAGACTGAAACAACCAGACTCTGAACAGACCTTTCTTTTTGTGTGTATGGTTATTTCATCCTTCGGGAGTTCGAGCAATCTCTGCAATTTGGAGGATGACATAAGTTTGGGGCTGCTGATGATCTTAACCTTCTTGAGGAACTTCATACAGATTAAGAGTTTCATTCCAAACACAGAAAGAAAACTTTAAAATCAAGCGCTGACACCACAGTATCACATTGTCACGGTTCGTAGAGGACTGCGTTTAAAATACTGTGCGACTGTCAGCGAGGAACAGAATATTTCCATAAGGGTATATATTCAGATATATCATCACAGAATGAATCCCTCAGGTATAAATAAAAGACGACACTGGATACATATGGCATATCATTCAAACACACTCTAATACTGAATACAACATATACAAGTAAAGCACAATTATCATTTAAAAACGTGTTTAAAATCTCAAATATTACCAGGTCAATGATCAGTTTTTACATGGGTGCAGCTGTTTGAACATGGCACACAGAGGCTGTAAATGCAAATGATTCAAATCTACAGAAGCAAATGTTGACAAACTCCTTTTCATTACGAGTGGAGGAGTTACAGAATGATCCAGCTGTTTGTGTCTGTGTCAGAGTGAACCCTCTCTCTGCTAAATGCCCTGAACGTTACACGCAGGTTACGATGAACAAACTGCCCCGCGAGCAGTTTTTTTAGTCACTGCTTGTCAAACACAAATTTAAAAATCTTTTTCTGACATTATCTGCTCAGCTGACACTGCTTTGCATCAGCCTCCTCAAACTTAAAGCCCGTAAGGAGTCCGTCTGTTCTCAGGTGGCTCCCCATCAACCTTTAACACGGCAGCCATTTGGACATGAAACACACTGTAAAGTTATTTGAACTCAGATAAACTTTTTACATATCGAACATTTTAACACAAACTCAACTCTGTAAGTTAAAAAAGATTCTTAAGCAGCTTTTACTAGTCATTTTACGTCACATTAACTTAGTCAGTTACAGAAACGTTCCTGATTAAGTACTTTTTACTTTTGTTTTCACAGTACAAATAAAAATTATAAAGCTACTTGATCAACAATGTTTTTAAATTTTTTCTCCCAATGTAATCAGTTTCAACATATCTTTGAATCTGGTTTTACAGTGAAACACAGGTTGTTGCCAATGATACTGACGGAAAGCGTCTAATAACAGCAGGCGTTTACTTCCTTTTGCATAAAACCCTTTGATTAGAAATGTTATACGACACAGATCTGTTTGACCTACAGGGAGGAACCTTAATTAGTGCCATTAGTGCCTGTGTTTATCCTACTATATCATGTTAAAACGGCTGCTGTGAAAAAGGTCTATAGTGAAAATTTTACTTCTAATTTAAAGCCATTTCGTTTTCAGGCCACAAAAATGTAGCTGCAGATTTGCCTGAAAGGTGAACAACAGGTGACGTCACATGTTCGCTAAAAATCTACAAGATAAACAACTGTTTGGCTTCAGACCCCTTAAATCATAGCAGGGGCTGTTTGGAGATATCTGTCAATGTTCACTGAACGTTCACGGAGACTTTAACTCTTTTGGAGAGGGCTGACACAGAGCTGTACGAGTGCACTGTGATATCGGAATAATTGTGATCAGATGGACATTTTCCTTGTATGGTGAACTACTCCTTTAATGTTCCTTGACAGCATTAGTTGCCTCTGCCAACACCCCAAAAAGACAGCACAAAAGACAAAACACAAACAAGATGTTTGTCTGAGTAAATTTGGGTGTTAACACAGACGTTGAACGCTATTGCTCGGGTCAACAACACGAGCATCCCTGCACTTCAGAGACCCGCTTGTCCTGTTCCTCGTCCTTACCTCAGTCTGTTCACTACCCGCCCTTGCACATGGAAGCCCTGATAGAGTCGGTTTTGATCCAGATGGTTTGAAACGGAACAAAAATACATACATACATACAAAATAAAATACAAAAAGGGGAAAAAGAAAAAAAAAGATTTAGAAATGCAGGAGGTTTAATCGTTCCAAAGTCCGCCGGTCTGTTCTTGATAAACCTCGATGACGTCCTCGTCCTCCATCCCCAGCTGACACGAACACACAGCAGGAGAAACAGAGTCAACACTGAGATTCTTCTACTTTAACATTCAAAATACAAATACAGAAGAATTTAACATTCTTCTGTATTTCAGGTAATTTCCTCCGTATATGTATATCACACAACACTTCTTATTTTCAGGTGATTATAAACTAAGGAAAACATACCTATGAATGTTTTATTCCATTTTTTAATAATAGATCCTCCTCAATGTTACACACTGGACCCTTTAAGTTTATATTTCAGAGCGGTTTTGTGAACTGCTCCAGAGTTTCTGCAGCTTTCAACAGGTGAGATTTAAGCAAAAAAAAAGCACAAATGATGTGGAGGAAATTGGTATTGCTTCCATGTTGTTTGCTAGTTATTACAGCATGATCAATACGTTTATCCCCCAAAAACACATTTAAAGCGACACAAACTTTATCCAGGTAACTTAATTAATCCAACCCAGTTGTATGTAATGTTGTAGTTGCAGACGTTTCACCCTCCCCTTCCAACCACCAGAGAGAAACCACATTAAGGTTAAATATCCTCTAAATTCTCAGCACTCCTTATCACGATCGTTAAATATAGCAGAGTAATCTGGATCATCATTATATAATGACACTTGTAAAGGACAAAGGGCAAGGTCAAGTCTACCTCTTTTGGAGTTTGGTTGTCTGCGATTCTCTGTCCTTCAAACAGAAACCTTAGCGTGCTCGCTGGGACTCCCTGCAAGAAACACACGCCAATGTCAAACAACGGCCTCACTCAAAGTCTTGTACTTAAAAAGTGAGGTTAATTCTCGGTGCTTTGTTTTGGGCTGGGAATCAAACTTCTGTCATTCACTAAGAGGGAGCTGCTGGTTGTTCCCTCTGTCCTCGTACCTGTCTCTGGCTGTAAGACTCCTTCAGCTTCTTCAGATGTGTCGTCATTTTCACCTTAAAGTGGATTTCGCTGCTGTCCTGTGGGCGGACAGAGAAAGCGATGAGGAGAAGCAGCGGAAATCACTTCAGATACACAAACAATACGTCATTTCTGTCACTAGGGGGTCTCTCGCATCAAAACAAAAACAAAACAAGAGGTTAGAGGTGAAGTAGCGTGGGCTCATGGGAGCTGTTGATTCATGCTGGGAATGATCATGTCTGCAGCACAAATTTAATGTTCACTGATTAAAATCATGATGTGACGTGTTTGGGGGTCTGTGTGACGTTTAAAAGAGTCCAGCCTGTCTCATGAACTACAGCCGGGACAACGTTTCAGCAAATAGGACTTTAAATACAGATAACGGTAAAACAATAGAAAACTCCAAAATGCTCCAGAAGTAGACGAGAATATGAGCCGATATATGTGCGTTTAGGAAAAGTTAAATAAATATATAAATTCACAATCATTTCCATGAATCATTTCTTGTACAGATGTTCATGCAAACAACACAAAGAAAAGTAAAAATGACAAGATATATAAACAAAACTATTAATATATCATCACTTTCCTCATCCCTATATGTTTCTCTTACACATTAATTATTCTCTTTTATTCTCTTTTGTTTTCTCTGCCCGAAAAAAAAGGTGTAGACTGAAGCTTATTTTGTCAAACAAAGTCATCAGCAGTGACTTTCAACATGACGAAGTAAAATAAATTAACAATTTAAGTTCTCATAACAAACTAAAAACATAAATATCCAGACACCTGGATTCAAAAGTTCATAAAAAGTTCAGGCTCTCTTTTTTAACCTTTAAATACTTTTAGAAATGACACAAAACAAACGCATTTAGATGAACAGGCAAATGTATTCACCTCGGTTTTCTATCATCAGCAAAACGACTGAACACATTTTAAATACTGAATAAAATGTTAGCTCTGGATCTGGAACTGAATATATATATACTTATAACTATATAATTTTGATTTATATACACTGATATATATATGAATATATATTGATATTATAAGTGAATCTATTTGTTGAAGTGAGGGAAAGCATTCACACACACCTGACCAATCACTTTTAACTTGATGTACTCTCCATCCTTCTTGTCCCCTCCGTCTTGGCTGGATGGTTTTGTCTCCTGATGACAAAAAACAACAACAAATAAACAACAACAACAACATTTAAAGGCACACACACACACACACAGGCCTGAAGGCTTCATTGTGGCCGACTCATACTCACATATCAGACTGTTTCGGTTTCTAAACGCTGGAGTTTCCTGACTACTGAGCTCAGGTTTGTAAAAGAAAAAAAAAAAAAAGGAACTAAAAGCAAAAACATCAGCTGAACAACAACAACAAGTTTAAATAAGCATTGGGCCTGAGCTGCACGAGCTATCAGCTGCACATTTAAAGCAAAAGCAGCCACAGAAACCAAAGAATCCGCCTCTTTCTGCAGCTGGTTCGCGGCACAAAGTGCACAGTCTCTTCGGGGTTTGGCTCTTACCGTGTCTGACATGGTTTCCCTCCGGTGTGCGCTGTGAGAAACGAGCTGACAATAGATGTTAGCGTTAGCTCGGTGTTGTGACAATCTGCCTCAACCGGAGGAGACGGGAAAAACTACCGGACGTGACGTTTGAGCGGTGCGCTTCACAATAAGAGAGGCGTCCTTCACAATAAGAGAGTGAGTGCAAAATATAAAAAGAAAATATAAAATTACATTTACTACTCACCTGTTGAAAATGTAGCCAGTAACCAAATCAAATTCAGTCATCATATTATATATACATATTATTATTATATTATTATTATTAATGTTATCATTATATTCTGTTATTAACAATAACACTACCATCATGTCATCAGTATTATTAGCTACAACTCTTTCTGCCTTACCTTCTCTATCTAAGTATTTTATTCTATTGTTGTATTTTATTGCATTTTAATGTACCTGGCTGCTATGATGACCCAATTTCCCTTCGGGGATCAATAATTGTTCAATCAATAATGTGTTGGCATAAAAAAACGTGGGGGAAAGTTAATCTAAGTTAGTTAAGCTTGGGTTTAAACTACCAATTATTAAGTAAATGGTCATTAAAAACCCCTTTGATTGGGTTTAGGGTTATAAATAACATAATTTAATCAGAAAAAAACTAAAATGTGGTCATTTTTTTCTACTTTATTTGAGGTTATCTGTATATACATAATATTTTACAGCTGCTTTGGCAATGTAATAGCTCTGTGATAGCAAATAATACATACAATCAGATATTATCAGATTGTATTGATCTGACAGGAAATCAATACATCTCTGACATCACAGGTCGTGTTTTTGTTGGAGGTTAAAATCCGCCAAGTGTGCCAAAATGAAAACCTTTTACTTCCGGTTGATACCTGTCAACATAAAACACAGAACACGTAACTAAGGCACGAGGGGGTTTTATTTTGAAAGCTAAATACCCACACTTCCGGTATGCAACCCGTTAACTTAACACAACTAAAAGGGGGGAGCGAAGCCAGCGCCGACCGGGCTGTAAAGTGCAACAAAATGAGAGCTGTGGACTAACTTTTAGCCTTTTTTCTGTATATATTATTAAAATACATTGCTGTAAGCCTTTATCTTGTCATTTTTCTGCCCGGGAAAGCAGCAGCGGGCCGTACTGACCGCCGTCGGGCCTCGTCGTCGTGGCTCCGCACGGACTCGAGTGAAGTTAGGAGCCCGAAAACTTCTGCTTCCTCCGGCGGCTCTCCGCGGGGCCCGGGGCTCCTGTCACCGGCCCTGTGGATGAGGGAGTGACCGCACGCCCAACCAACCACCAGGTAGGGACATAAAGATGCTTTTTACCTGTTCATCTGGTGAATATTCGCCTTTTTTTGCGTCTTCCCCGCGGCTCGTTAGCGTTAGCTTAGCGTCGATAACTTCCCTGGCCCTGACAGCGAGCTCAACACGGAAACTGTCGGAGCCACTTTATCTGCTCTTATCGGCTCCAGATGTGTGTGTTTGGGTGCATTTCAAGACGCAACGTGGTTTATTAAGTTCTAATAATGTCACAGCACGCCCTACGTCACTTGCAGATAGTGATCGATCAGCGGTGATCAGCAGAAATGTGTGTGTGTGTGTGTGTGTGTGTTGCACGGTGCACGAATATTAAGATAAAGCGGTGATGATTGTGCAGAAGAAACAGTCTATTGATCGATAACTGTGCAGCTGCCGCTCGTTCCTGCACCGTAATTCACACAATACGGTCAAATGCTGCGATTATTCCCAGAGAAAAGGTAAGAAATTCACTTTGTGCAGCAGCTGGAGGGGAGAAAATGCCCTTTAAATCAGAAGAGAAGAGGAAAAAAAGACCAGCTTTAACAGAATAAGAGTTATAAATGTGTGTGCAGGTGTTGGGGTTGAACAGGAGGTAGTGGCACAGTGGAATTTAAAGGTAATATACGTAAATAAATACACAATCCAGGTGCAGAGTTATCTTAATGTGCACATAATACATTTATTTTTATCACTCATTGTGCAGCCCGAGTTACTCATCACTTTATACAGTTTTAATTTGCATTATAGAATAATAAAAGTCCTATTTTCTGCCTCTGATCTAATGATTAGTTTAATAATCCACCTTTTAAAGAGCAACGAGCGTTTAATTCTTCAGAATATTCAGACGTCGGGATCGAAATACATAAATATCTGCAACCAAAACAAAACCGCGGCTGTAAATTCTGCCTGACTTTGCACTTTTATCCGATCGTTGTATTTGTATGTCACCAAACGGTTCAAATTCAACATGTCAGGCTGCGACGATCTCAAAAACCGCCTGCCAAACCCTGAATCACACCGCTGTCTTCAATAGTTCCCCTTTACGTAAACCAGTATTGTGATTTTATTGCAGTCTTTCCCTGTTTCCTGTCCGTCTTCCGGCTCCGTCACTGTTCTCAGATCTGCTCGTCGGTCAGCAGCTTCAGGTTCAGCTTCAGGTT